CATCTTTGTTGCTCTTCTCTGTACTCTTTCTAAAGTCTCAACATCTTTTTTACATCGCGGTGACCAAAACTAGATGCAGTATTCCAAGTGTGGCCTTACCAAGGCATTGTAAAGTGGAATTAACACTTCACGTGATCTTGATTCTATCCCTCTGTTAATGCAGCCTAGCACTGTGTTGGCCTTTTTGGCAGCTGCAGCACACTGCTGGCTCATATTTAAGTGATTGTCCACTAGGACTCCGAGATCCCTCTCACAGTTACTACTATTGAGCAAGGTGCCACCTATGATCTTAACTCACTTTGAAATTAGAAATGACTTTTTTGAAAAGACGTGGAAACTGGGCAAAATTTCAAGAATGCCCTAGAGGCAACTTCATTTAGTTTGGTTTCAACATGGTAGAACATCAAGAAGAAGAACACTTGATGAAAGAGCAGCTAAAAATGATACACGTGTAAAACAATTGAAAAGCCTTGGACTGGGTCAAGATCAGAAGTCATAATCCCTCTTCATGGTCTGTTGGTTCTGGCCACTCCAAGATTATTGCATTTAATTCTGAGCACTGCATTTTTGGAAGCACATTGATGAACTGAATGTACAGAAAAAAGCAATTACCACGTTAACAGATTTCGGGGAAATAGATGTGAGGAATGGTTGGAGTCACCGAATGTGTTTAGTTTACAAAAAAGAAAATTATGGGACAACATGATCATTGCCCTGAAGTATTTGAAGGGCTGAAATGCAGAAAAGGGAGAATGCTTGTGGGTTTCCTTCTACAAGAGGATACAAGAAATAATGAGTTTAAATTATGAAGATTTTCCTAATAGCAAATAAAACAGTAATGGGTTGCTTTGCTTTAGAGATTGTAGACTCTTTCACTGAAGGATTTTAAACTGAGATTGGATGGCCATCTGTTTTGGGTACTATAGTGACCCAGGCCTGGAACTGAATTAGATGCCCTGCAAGGGCCCTTCTAAGTTTTTAGATACTCTTGAATAAGGCTTAAGTTCCAAGGTCTATTTGTCAACGCTGGGAGAGAACTATTTCCTGAATTGTTTCTAAGCTATGAAAAGACTCTTCAACACCTTTGCGGCTTTCAGGAAAGGTCTGGACCAGTGGTGAGATTCAGCCAGTTTGCACCACTTCAGCAGAACTGGTAACTAATTTTTTGTTGCCCAGGCCCAGAATGGACTTCTGAAAGCAGCATCCACACAGAGAACCGGTTGTTCACATATTTGAATCCCACTACTGGTCTGGACTTTCTATTTAATCAAGACTTTTCCATGGTAATGAATCCATTTACAAGTAGTATGAAGGCTCTTAACCAACTTTTAATTGCTTGTATACCGTATCATCCATACGGTATACAAGCAAGATATAAAAGCAAACCAATGCAATGGCAGAAAGATGAAGAGCTTCAGGAAGATCCAAGAGGATTGGGTTGCACATTAATTACTCTTGTCAATTCAACTAGTTTCCAAACAAATACAAAAATATAAAGCAATAGAAGCAAAATGCCTTTGTTTTTCTGCATCATAAAGAAAATATTTCTCAATCCTTCCCCCTCCCATTCCTTGTTAACTGAATAACAGCAGTCACTCCTGGTCTCACCAGTTTTGCACCCTCCTCACTCCATCAAAATGTTCTTGATAAATACCATTGCTAGGCTGTTCCAAAGGTCCATACAATCCAAGCAAAATGTTTCTTGGAACAAGACCTTAGGCATGTTCTCTTCAGGTCATAAATTACACTAAATATGGCAGATTGACTAAAACTGATTTAAAAAAAGTTCCATGAGATTATTATTTCACCATGAGATAGTTAAGCAATTCGTTCTGACAGTTAATTTTCAGACATCATGTCAGCAATTAGTTTCAGCAATTAGTTTAAAAAAATATACTTTGAGCAGTTAGCTTCAGCATTTGTTTTAGATCCACCTGAATAATCCATTGTCATGGTTCCAACAGACAGAGATAAATAAAGCAGAACTCAGAGGCTTGAAAATTCCTCAAAGAACATGTTTATTAGTTACAAAGTATTGGCACGGTCAAAAGTGAAACACAAGTAACAATTACCCAATTACAAAGTATAATGTCCCACCCACAAATCTATGCAAGCAACTATGTCCCCCAATATTTTCATTTGGTGGGCTTTTTGATGCAATTCCCAGTCCCTGGTCGCAGGAGCAGTAGATGACCTTAGCATGGACACATGATTAATAATTTTGTCTTCCCTCAAATACCACACACAATACTGTGTGTTTTACTGGGTTTAGTAAAAAGAAAGAAATCTATTCTTTCTAATGGCAGAATACATACATGGTGGTAAGCCATGATATGGTTTGTTTGAGTTAGTCCTATGGGGACTACTGTTGTGCTGCGCAAACTATGACTTATTTCAGAAGTAAGCAATTTGTGCCCCTCCCCCCATCATTTATGGGATTCCCAAGCCTCTTCTGGCTGTAATTATTAAAAATTAGCACCTTGACTTCCTGTTATTTCAAGGGTGGAAATATATAAAATCTCTCTGCACAATATAGTGAGTGAAATTAATAGTCTGAGTTCTCACAATATGCCTTACATAATATACCAACACTTTAAACAAATACCATTAGGTTCTCCATAAATAATGGTCTCAATCCTACTCTGCATCATCATCATCATCATCATCATCATCATCACCACCACCACCACCACCACCACCACCACCACCACCACCACCACCACCACCACCATACCTATCATGGGACTCTCCCCTCCCCTGCCAGATGTTAAATGTGGTTCACAGTTACTGAAAGATTGCTCATATCTTGTTTGTATGGTTCAACATCTTTAATAAATGTAATTAATTTAAACCAAGCATCAGCTAAGCATTCAGTTGACTAAAGCAAAATGCAAATAAACTAGACCTTATTTTCAGATAGGAAGCACAATTAGTTTTTATTTCCTGGCTCCATCCAGTAAAGGCAACAGAAGGTGCTCAGGTTTCATGACCCTGCCCTTACTTCTGTCCTGCCTACACAAAGGTCCCCATTTAAAGTCTTTCCCATTCTGGCTTAGGAAAATTAACTGCAGGAAGACGGTAAGTGGCGCTGCAGAGGGCTGGAGAGAGCAGGGAAGGGAGACCAGGGGTTGTGACTGAGTCAGAATTACCCACATCTAGTTGTTTGGAAGAGTACGAGTGGCTCTAGTGGAATATGGATAACTGTTCTTGCTCTAAGTATAGCGTGAACATAAAAGTGAGAGATGCCTTTCATGTTTCAGAAGGAGGGAGAGACTGAGCAATTAAGGCAAAGAAAAATAAAAGGCTAAAGAGTCTATAGAATGTTAAATAGAAAAGCTAGAGAGTAAGAAAGGAGAAAAAAACATTAAGGTAGCAAAAGGCAATCTTTTGTCACATCGACCAATTTGGAATGCTAAAACGTGTGGAAAACGAAAATATTGGCTATTGTTCTTTTATGCAAGGTTTAGACCCAGGTGAACTAAATCAGGCCTCATGGAAAAAGTATTGAACCAATGTTTGTGCTATGCTCAGTTTTACAATCCAAAGGAGATATTTATAATCCCAATTGCAACTGTACTTTACTTAATATGATTTTGCTAAGCTTGCTTGTTTTAAATATATTTAGAACATAAGGATTGGAACTGTGAGAAATAGGGAACTGAAAGTAGCTGATGGATGCAGGTTCCAATGTGGAAAGTTATGTGGAAAGTTATGTTCAGCAGAGGATCAGCAGAAAGTGTAAAATTGCTGTCTACAGTTTTAGGATGGGAAAGGGTATAAGAGATTGGGACCGGAGCCATTGCCATTGCCATTGGCCAATAGCCGTCGTTGCTATGTCATTAGTTCTCATTGCAATGGGTTGCTAATGTAAGTGATGTTGTGATGTTTGTCTATATTCCAAATTATTGCTGAAATAAACCTCTGAATCTTAAAGTAAGAATTATTGTTTTGTGTTGCTGTCTCTTGTCTTTTTCATTGGATTTTTCCACGACACATGTAATGGACACATTTGCAAAATGGCCGGCTTGGCAATCTCCCCTGTGTACAAAGTGATGGCCTTGTGGGCAAGACTAATCCCAATACAAGCCATGTATCAGAAGGATTTCTAGGCATTTTCATAGAGTCCAAAAGCAGTATTTACTCAGTTCGATGGGCCAGGCATATTACTTATTTAGTTATTTCCACTCCTTCCATTCAGGAACTCCTAATGGCTCAACTAATACCCTTTTCCTCATTTGTTTTTCAACAGTCTTGGCAGGAACCTTGAGGTGTGAGGGACTAACTGGTTCAAAATCATCCAGTGATTATATATTTACTAATTTGTGGTTTTACTTATTGTGGTGTCAAATATCAGATTTGGATCTGTTCTATTACTGGTTTTTTTTACTCTTAGTGTCTGAAATTTGGACTAAAGGCAATGTAGAGGAGATAAGCAGAAATGAGTCCATTAAAACAAGGATAGAAGACATTTTGACTTCTGACAAATTATTCAAATTATGAAAATTATGCAAACAGTTTCTCGACATATCTTTCTCAGTATCAGCTCAGCAACTCAGACTGATTTTGTAGGAATTAAAGTTTCTGCAAGATTCAGAAAATTATGTATTTGAGTTTATTGTTAACCTCACTTTCTGGTTTCTTGTTATGAGCCATAAATCCTCTAAACTGCTAATTGTAGAGGCTATTTTGGTATACTGGTTAAGACACCAGACTGGGTACTAACTGGTGCTCTAGTCATGTCTTAGGTACAAAGCCAACTGGGCCAGTCCCTCTATCTCAGCTCTAGGCAGGAGACAGTGACAAATCATTTCTGAAATCTTATCTAGGAAACTGCAGGATCAAATCCAGTCAGTTCCCTGGAATTAAGACTGATGCAAAGGTACAAAACAAAAGAATTGAAAAGCATGATTTCATGAGGGTGGTGCTGCGGATATTTTATAAATGATTCCTGTTTCTAGGATGCTGTAATTTCTGAAGACATTTTTGTTTCAAGAATCCGATTGATTTCCATGGATCTTTCTGCCAGCACTGCTCTTCTCTTGACCATCTCCTGCTGCTTGTGGAGTACCGAAGCCCGAATGTTTACAGATGTGCTTTCTGTGCCAAATGGGGGTTCTTGGGGTGACTGGGGCCCAAAAATGCCTTGCCCTCAAGGCTATGCTCATGGCTTCTCCCTGAAGGTAATAGTTTACTTTTTTGATGCTCCTTTATTTCTAAATATTCTCTTGAAATTAGTTCTTCAGCTTTTCATTATTTTTTTAAAAGGCAACCAAGAAGTAATTGTGTGGAGGCTTTACACTTTTGATTCTATAATTAAAGAAAGGTATTGAGTTCGGTCAGTGGTGAGATTCAAATATGTGAATAACCGGTTCTCTGTGTGGATGCCGCTTCCAGAAGTCCATTCTGGGCCTGGGCAACCAAAAAATAGCTACCGGTTCTGCCGGACTGGTGCGAACTGGCTGAATCCCACCACTGAGTTCGGTGTGGAATATTGTGTGGCAGATTTAATCTGGATTCTCCAATATTTATGGGTTAATGTTGGAATTTCTGAGAACTGAAATCTGAAGGACAGCAAGGGGAGAAAGGGTGATCTAAAACTTTATCAGGATCATATTTTCTTAGGTGCAACAAAACCAAGGGACAGGTGACGATACAGCTCTGAATGGCATCCGCTTGTTCTGTAACGATGGCAAAACAACACTTGAGTCTAAAGTTGGAAAGTGAGTAACTGACTTTCAGATCATATTTTATTTTATTTTCATAAAGAATGGGAGAGATGATTGATGCTTAGTTCATTGCTACCCAACCTTGAAAGTTAACTTTGTTGATTTCAGAAGGGAAAGTTCATTCTCTGAATGAACAGCTGATGCTGAAACTTGGATCAGAGATTTTTATGTTCCTGACAGTTAATATTCTGTGGGCCATAATAAGTGTATCTCCCTCCCTTCCGTTCTTTTTCCCTGACATGCATTCATTTCACCAAAAGCTCTTATGGACTTTAGTCTTCCACACAATTCTGCCATTGTGCAGTTTATGAATCTGTCTGCTGTTCTTATAACTCTCCTTGTGAGGCAATATGGGCTGCAGTGCTGAGCTACATGTGCAAGTGCTGTTTCTGAAGGACAGAAGTGGGGCTGCTATTAATGTCATATTAATAGGGCAGCATTGGAGATATGATATATTGTTCCAAATTTCTTTATCGCAAAATCTTCTCTCCCCAAGTAAACCATGAGGAAGGGCCACAAGGCAGCCAGAGGGGGCATTCAATTTTCCTGTGGAATGCCATGTTTAATGTAACCAGGGAAACTGAGATAGAATTCCCATAAGAAAATGAGGCACTGAATTTCGACAGAGGACTTGCTAGCTAAATAATGACTCACCTCTTCACTAGTGGGGAATTCATTCATTCAAGAGTGATAGCAAGCAAAGGTCTTCTTTTCAAGGGAAAGGGTGCTTCAATATTGCAAGACAATTTGTAGAATGAGAAGCTCCTGATGTAATGGATTTTGACCATGACATGGATTAGGAGAAGTCTTGAGAATAAATAAAGTATTCTTTATCCCATTTTTCCTAGGGGTTTAAACCAGCAGCCACAAGACCCCTTGATTCCAATTTTTTTCCTACAATAGCCTAAAGAGTTAGGTTGAATATCAACTATTATTGACAGAATTATTTAATGAATGTTTATAGCCGAATGTAGACTTTAACTTGATTCCTAGCCCAAGATTTTAGCCATTATGCCTGAATCTCTTGGACTGATGACAAGTGTTTAACTTAGACAGTAAAGAGATGCTTATATATCTTTGCCTTTTTTGGCAGGTGGGGAAATTGGACAAAGAAACAATACTGCTACACAGGCTACCTGGTTTCTTTTTCTCTGAGAGTGGAACCACCTCAAGGAATTCTTGACGATACAGCAGCTAACAACATCCAGTTCAAATGCAGTGATGGTACTACCATGGTGGGCTCTGGCACGATGTGGGGTAAATTTGGCCCATGGAGCTGTCGCTGCCCCAAAGGTGGCATATGTGGGATGAGAACAAGGGTGGAGGATGCACGGCACATTGGTGATGACACAGCACTCAATGATGCGAATTTTTACTGCTGTTAACAGTCGATACATGTTTCCTCATCTATAAATATACTTTTGCTATGCATTTTCAAGAACTGTTAATTATAGTGAAATATTAACTTGAGAATGAAGGGTGGGTTTGGGCATAATGTGGTAGTAAAAGGTAACCGCCCCCCAGGTGTTACCTCTTCAAACAGTCCAGATTGGGGAGGCCTAAGGGAGGTAGCAGAAACCTTAAGCATCGCAAGTCATTGACTCTCTCCCCTCTCATTTTGGTTTTGATCCAAGTCACTGCACCAAACTATAATATCATGTTTCTGATTGATTGCATGCAAATAAAATTATGTTGCATCTTCAAAGGCATTTCTTTCTTTCAATAGCAAGGTTTGAGCCACAACAATACATATCTATTTCTTTGGGTTTATTTATTCTTGTACTCTGCATTTCACTGTAGAGAATACAAAAATTTTAGAGAAAATATGCTATAACTGGCCCAGGATTGGTTAAGAACCAAAGAAAAGTGATGCTAAAAATGTTTTTGAGGCTTTTTTGAAGAAATTGAAGATGAGGTGTAAGAGAGTTTTCCTAAACAAAGCCTACAAATAATCACTTATCCCAAATATCCCTTTTCTGTTCTTTAAACAATTACATAAAAGAATTTCTCTTCCAATCCCATGCCTTTCATTCGCTTTGAATTTTTTATTTATGTATTTATTGATTTGATTTCTACATCATGCCAACCTAATCAGGCTCTTGGTTGCCTACAAATAGACAAAAATCCAGTTTGTATTTTAGTTCAAGGTATTTAAACCAATCATTGAAATATAAATTCAAAGATTTCCCCACATATATACCTAATTGGGTCATTAACTCCAATGGAAAAATACAAGGGAGAAAATATTTGGATTAGTTTAGAATATAATCAGAAATACATTTATCTATGTGGGATGTCAAATAAACATTTTGCTTCCTGATGCCTAAATATTTTAAAGAAATCCAGTCTTGCCCTACCTCTTCTACCTCATTAATGTTATTTTCCCCCTAAATTGAAACATCTGCTTGATTCCTCTTTCCTGTATACACTGGTACTTTGGTACTCATTGGTAATTTGTTCTGGATGGTGCACTGAATACTAAAACTGATGGGTACCCAGAAAACCACGTGACTGACCATGTGACCCACTATTTCATTTGGAAGAAATAGCGAGTCAGAAGGCACCCGACATCAGCAAGTTCTTCCTTGCATGTCAACTACCAGAGAAAGACAATGCCAGGACACAATTTCTGCTTCAAAAACACAATGAATACTGAATTTGATGAGTTTTGAACAAGTCAAGTGCCAAGATATGTTTACAGCCTTTTCAAAAATATTTCTTTTTTAATGTAAAGTACTTATGGATAAAATATTCTGTCTAAAATAGTGATAAGAGTATAAGACGCATCATGTTTAAGTTTCGTTATAGAAAACACTCTTCTCTGGTTCCATCAAGTAATGGGAAATTAATGTCTGGAGTAATTACTTTATTGTCTATCCACCAGTTAAGTTACTGGTCTTCCTGAGAAATATGGGGACAATGATGACACCTTGACTAAAGTTGCTAAATCATCTAGTGGTTTTTTTATCTTAAGCCAAGGGAGTTTGATGCAGGAGAACAAAAGAAAAATATATAATATCATGCATAGCTGAAAAATAAGTACAACTTTTCTTCCACTTTAACAAATAATCTTTTGAAACTAAATGCAGAATTTTGTTAAAAAAATCAATGCATTACATTGTGGCATACAATGCAATTAGAAGTGGTTATGGCTGACAATTATAGATGATTTTGAAAAAGACTAGCTCAGCGGTTCTCAACCTATGGGTCGCGACCCCATTTGGGGTCGATCGACCATTTCACGGGGGTCACCAAGCAAGGCTGTCTGCCATTTTTTCCCCCTTTTCCGGCGGGTGCCTTACCTCCCTTGAGCTGGGCCAGCTGGTGGTCGGCCTGCTCCATCTCTGCCGCTTGCCAGCTACGCCTCAGCCGGCGCAGGGGGCGGAACCATGCATGCGTGGCGCTCCCGGGCAGGGAAAGTCCTCGACTTACAACCGGTTGGGTAGTCCTCGACTTACGACCGGTTTAGTCCTCGACTTACGACCAGTTTTGTCCTCGACTTACGACCTGTTGGGGGTCGCGGCATTAAAAAGGTTGAGAATCACTGGACTAGCTACTATTGTTGCATACTATCTCGTGAACCACAAGAAGCCCACCTTAAATTTTTTTCTTGGATATAGCCATTCATGCTTTGATTATCTTTAGGTTCAATTTGTTTCTATAAGTTCCCTCATATGCTGTGCATCCTGATTGGGATGCCACAATAATTAGCCCTGGGCTGTTCACTATTCTACACTTTTAAGAATGACTTGAATGAAAAGCTGAAAGGAAAGCTTATCATATTTAATATAATGTTGGGAGAAATAGCTTTAGGAGGCTCATAGTGGCCCATACATTGTGTCTGGCTATTTGAATTCGAGCTTTGTTTTTTTCAAATTATAATTTTATGAAGCATTTTTGAAAAAGAGAAGAAAAAAGGAAAGCAAACAAAAGAAAAAAGAGAAAGAGAATTAAAACATTAAAAAACTGAATTTGCAAGCATTAGGTAAAAGATTAAATTAAATTACATTTTTCAATATTTCACCAATTATTTTTAAGTAATCTAAAGTATTATGTTATAGATTTTCAAACTATAGGTCATTGTTGAAATTAAGACAATGTATGAATGTCAATAAGAGTAAACAATGCTGTGTAAATCATAAAATAAGATTAAAATTAACACTAACTTCCAACCAAACTACTAAAGATCTATTCTGATTTAACAGATCCATTAAATCCATTGAACTCAAGCTGATATGGCACATCAATATCTGAGGAAGTAGAAAATGTGGTACATAAGTAATGTTCTAGCAGGCATGTATGCTATATTATCAAGTTTTTAGTATTTATTAAGCAGTGCAAGGTGTAAGAATTATTCCAGGTTATCACCTTAAAATATATTAGAAATTGCATGTTTTCAAACATCATGGTATTCCTTTTTTTAGTGGTTTCCTCTACCTAATCTTCTCATCCTCCACAGAAAGCAATCAGAATTGGAGGTCTTATATCATGGTATAGATGTAGAACAAATTCATTAAAGACAAACCAACACACAAATCTCACCTGAAGAAATACTACTTGCAATATACAGGGGGACGATCGAGAGCATCCTGTCATACAGCATCACAGTCTGGTTTGGAAGCATCACTGCTTCAGGCAGGAAGGTGGTGCAGAGAGTGGTGAGGATGGCCAAAAAGATCATTGGCAGTCCCCTCCCTCCCATCCAGGACATAGCACAGAAGCGCTGCTTGAGCAGGGTCCTTAAGATTATCTGGGACACTACACATCCTTTTCATGACCTGTTTTCCTTGTTACCTTCTGGGAGGAGGCTTTGTGATATCGCAGCAGAACATCCAGATTCAGCCAGAGTTTCATTCCATACAGCATTAACCTTGTGAACTCTCAAGCTTCCTCCTTCTGTTATATATTCAAGATGGACAGTATTTAATATTTATTTGTTATGTATATGTACGAGTGTGGGTCTATACATATGTTGTATATAGTATGTTTTAGGTGTGTGTCATGTATGTGTTTCACTTTGAGAGTGGGCAACTAAATTTCATTTTTGATGTGTGCCGTTGTGCCCACAGTAAAAAAATGACACTAAAGGTTATCTTATCTTATCTTATACTGTGAAAGAGACAAAACACAAAATTTTATAGTGTAGGAATCTTTTGATTAAAAGCATACATTTTGAGATTGTAATGTCTGGAAAACAATGCAAAAGAGTAAAGAGAGAGGCAGTTTGTTGTACTGGTTAAAGCATCAGGCTAGAAACCAGGAGATTGTGAGTTCTTTCTCTAGCTATGAAGTTAGTAGGTGACCCTGAGCCAGTTCTTCTCTTTCAGCCCTAGGAAGGAGGCAATGACAAACCAACTCCAAAAAACTATTAGGAGAACCGCAGGCAGTTGGCAGGAATCAAAAACTGATTTAAAGACACACACATACAAATTTTAAAAAGCAAAATAGCAATTTGGGTGAAAGCACCCCAAATTAAGTTTCATTTATTGTTCAGCTCAGGAACATTTTAATAGAAATGGAAAAGCAATTGAAATGGGCTGGTGGTGATTTTTGGATCAAACCACAGCTAATTTCAGAGCAGAATGTGGCAAAGGTCTGTGAAAAGTCCAGGAAGATGTTTTCATCAATGAATTTTCTGGTAGCAATTCTTTTTCTCTTTTGTTTTTGTTTTTTAGTGGTTGAATAGGAAGAGAAGTTTAGAGAGAAATCAGCTCTGCTGATTGGAAAACAAATGACACTAATTCCAAATCTTTCTGATTGCTTTTGAATCACTCTACTGATAATGATTTTATACACTGTAGGTTTTTCACGACTGTGATTTATCAGTGAAATGACTTCTGAGTAATGTAAGAAAATGAATATTTCTTCAAAGCAGAATTGAAAACGAACTTAGCAACAGAAGTCATATTCTTTTCTACTGCCAGTGAAAGGAATGGCTGCAACTAATAGTTAACTGTCACATAGATGACATTTGATAGCTTTCCCCTCTATTTAAATTGTTCAAAGCAATAGCACAGAAGCATAGAGGTTGAAGAGACATCACAGAGCATCTACATTTCCTGCTTGGAGATAGAGGATCTGACAAATGGTTTTGGACAGACGGCTATCTAGCCTCTGATTTGAAGACCTCCAGTGAGGGAGAACATACCACTTTATGAATCAGCCTTTTCCACTGGCTAAGAACTCTTTCCATCAGGAAATTTGTCCTAATAATTGGAGAACCTTATCTCTTTCTGATAATATATATTTTTGCATATGTTTTTATTTTATTCAAGACAAAGTTAAAATACAAAATACAAAACTTTAAAAAAAATTAAAAAAAGAAAAAAAACAATAAAAACATTAAAAAACAAAAAGGTGCATCAAAAAAAGGACCAACATATAT